TAGAACCCGGAGTTCCTCTCATCCTACTCTAGATAGAGTACTAGAACCCGGAGTTCCTCTCATCCTACTCTAGATAGAGTACTAGAACCCGGAGTTCCTCTCATCCTACTCTAGATAGAGTACTAGAACCCGGAGTTCCTCTCATCATCCTACTCTAGATAGAGTACTTGAACCCGGAGTTCCTCTCATCCTACTCTAGATAGAGTACTATAGTTCACTGTACAAGGAGCTCCTTTACCCTAAATAGAGTACCCGGAGCTCAAATATACATTAAACCTTTTAAAAACTAAATTTGGAACCCGACTTTGTCGGGAAATTATTCTTTCTCTGAAAAGTCAACTCACTCAAGACTGTTCCAGTGGTTTCTGCCGATCTCCCAAATCAAAATTTAAGGCAAATCGGTCAAAGGGATCTTGGGTTACGATCGTTCATAGAAACAATCAAAAAACTTTGTATATAGATTTACAGTTTAGATACTCACTTCGTTATTTCTCGTTAAAAATATGCAAAGAAACGTATTAGAATATTGACGATATCCAGTGTTTGCATATTAAGATCATAATTCAAAATCTTTTCTTCTAAAAACTATGCATCTGTGACTATAATATAGGGTTATTATAGTATTTATATTTAACGAGTACTGATCAGGACATCGTAGAAATATCGAAATTTATTTACTAAAATGTGGTCTCCGTCATTTCATTTACAATCTGAGCCGGAGATTAAAAAAATTCCGAAAAAAAACGGCTCGGGTCTAAGCTGTCGTTGGGCCTTATATGTAGCTTCAGCTTTCGGATTCAAGCTGCATCTTATTTTCTATAGAGTTAGGAGTTCAAAAAACAAGTCGGTTTCATTTTCATTGGGCGTAACTCATTAAGTCAAGCCGAAGATCTTGCAGCTGTCAATCACGTGACACAAGCTGTCGTCAGAGTTGGTTTGAAGATCTTGCAGCTGTCAATCACGTGACACAAGCTGTCGTCAGAGTTGGTTTGAAGATCGGGTTTTAAAATCGGGTTTAAGGAATTACGGATCGAACCGTGATGTTTTTAAATCGCGGGCTCGGGTTTGGTTCGAGATATTTATTTTTATTTTGGAAACGGCAGGACTATGAGAATTATTGTGGTTATTGCTACAAGAATCTTGTATGTGAAAGTATAGGTTGACGACTGTATGTGAAAGTATAGGTTGACGACTGAATGTGAAAGTATAGGTTGATGACTGAATGTGAAAGTATAGGTTGACTACTGAATGTGAAAGTATAGGTTGACGACTGTTTGTCTGCACAAGTAAATCCAAAGTTGAAAGACACCCACCCTGTATTTCACATTAAATATTGTTAAAGGCTTACCTTGCATTGTGTATCATACCAATACTTTATATAGTTTATATAGTTTACATAGTTTATATAGTTTATATAGTTTATATAGTTTATATAGTTTATACAGTTTATATATTTTCCTGAATATTTTTATACAAAATTAATAAATATAAAGGGTGTCCAAAAAAGGGATTATCGTGTTAAAGTTCCAATAATAATCTTTTGAAATGACTCGAAAAATTTCTTTAGAAGGGGTCATTCAAATAACATTTTGGCGTTCGATGCTTCCGTTGGGCGCAAATTAACTGAGTCTAATTTCAAAAACCTATCTGTTAACTATAAACAATTGATAATTTTTATTATTCTATTTAAATCTATATTGCAGAGAGAAAACAGCTTAAAAATGCTTAGAAATCATAATAATGAATACTTTCTGAGGTTAACATAATGTTTATATTTCAATTTTTTTCTTTAAGAGTCCCCAATTGATGTAATGCAAACGAATCGTGCGCCTATTTCTAATATTTTCCAAATATTTAGCAAAGCTGTTCCAATCATGAAACTAGGAATTCTGCAACCAATCTTGTTTAGGTTTCTCCTTTTAGAGTTCTGGGTATAGGACTACAGAACGTATACACCTTGGATTAAAAATCTCAGGGGGTTCAGATAGATTAAAATGAAAATTTTTGGTTTGAAACCAACAGAGAGATTACTTTAAAAACCCCTTCTAAAATTAAAAACAATAAACCAAAGCACATTTTTGAGTAAATTTCAAGCGATTAAAGGGTGTGCTAAAAATCCTAATCCCTGTTTGTTCTGGGTCCCCCTGTATAAGTTTCATTCTGCATTAAAAAAGCATTGTAAAAAGTAGGATAAAAGTAGGTTGAAATTTTAATTTATAAATTAATATTACGGACACCTCTTTTGCCAGCTGCAGTTTGTTATTGTCATAAAAAACCACAAATTTCTAAATGATAAGAAGCCAAACACAAAACTCTGAATTCAGTTTAACTGGATTGATATAATGTCAGGAACTACAAATCTAATTAACATTTCTACAATAATTAGCGTTGATTCAATCACTGTCCAACTTATTCCTCAGAAAAAAGGTAGAATGCTTCAAATAAAGTCAATTATGCTAAAAACTGAATTTATAAAAGACGACATTTAAAAACCTAACTGGAATCATGAGGGAGAGCTAAAACCCACCGTTGAGTTGAGCTTATAGAAATGTAGATATTTTGACTAATTAATTAATTAATTAATCCTTTGATCTAAGTCGGTGCTCATAAAACTATTGTAATTCAAATTGTGAACGCAAATATATCAATTAATTTTAAATTTTCCAAAAGACGACATTTACCATATAATTTAAAACGATTTTTGTAACTTTGTACTTAAAACAAAGCGTGTGGGCCAGTTTCGTGGGTATCCTAAGAAACTTGAGAGTACGTAAATAGTTTTAAATGTCTTCATCTATATACGGTGGTAGGCCATAATATCAATAAAATATAAAGACGACTTTTTAATTTAAGTTTGTATTAACAAGCTTTTTTCGAATTACAAGTTTACAAGTAATTAAAGCTTTTTTAATTAACAGCTTCTCTTTGTTTTCATTTATTTGTGAATCCATGTTGTTTAAAAGCTAGATATAAATCAAATTGGAAACTGAAAGTCGTCTTCATTGTATTGGTATAATCGCCCAAACACCGTACTGTATAAGGTGTAAGACTTTTTGCAGTTTATATTGATTTTGTAAAAGAAATCTTTTACTCATATATATTTTACTTTGAAATAATTTTAACTATAATTTGACCGCGATAAAATATTTATTTGTACTCTATTTGGTTTTAAACAACTTAACAAAAAATCATGGGAAAAGACATTTTTAACTATTCACCAACTGTCAATATAGCCGGCCAAACCCCATCACTTAAAAAGTGAAAACTAGACTATTACGCCGGAATGTCGTTTTTATTTTTTATTTTTATTTTTTTGTGTTTGTTTTTTATTTCTTTATTAGCTGAAGTATTGTCGGATTTGCCTTTCAGCTTCTCCCGGTTTTAACAAAATTGCATGATATCATAAATATTCGATTCTATTATTTTTCCTTGTTCATTTCTACTTTTTGGCAAACACTTCAGCGTAAGGCAAATTCCAACATTAGACGCCCCATCCATACTTTGCCTTTTAATTTATATTTCAAAATTCAAAAAGGCCCCGAAGAATTTTACTTATTTTGATCTAGGAATAATTTTGAGACATGTTGAATATCTGGTTAAGTCTGAAAGATTTAGATCGGAGGTTAACAGGAGATATTCAGATTTTCAGGTAAAATTAAAACTTTTTATTTTTTTCAGAACATATCTCTAGGTTTCCTAATTTAAAAGTTTGAATCATTCTCATAGAAATAACATTTATAGAAATATTATTTTCATTTATAGTCTCTGTACGAGCTCCTACTGCAAAGGTTTCCCTACAGGATAGTTCCAAAGGTATTTTTACTTTTTTTTAAACACAAAAGGAAGGGGGGGGGTTAGCATACAATGGATTAATCGTCTTTATACTTTTTAGCTCCCGCCAGCCAAGTTAATGGCAAAGGTGGCGGGTGTTGACAGCGACACCATTGATCAGCGGAGGAAAGCATTAACACGCTGGCTTTCTATCGTGACGTCACATCCAGCTTTCAGCATGGATCTCATGATCAAGTTCTTTCTGACTGACATCTCTAATGATTTTGCAAATTATCTGAAAGATCAGTTCAGGTATTGTACAAATAACACAGACAGGACAAGTGATGTACTAGCGATATTTTTAGAACTCTGACAGATTGTTGACCAAAAGACAAACTTAGAGACATAATAATGTGGTGTGGTCGATATGTATGTGAACAGCGCATATTTTAACTTTTCAAAATCATGTCAATATACTCAATAGAAGGACTAATTAGTGTATAAAGGATAAGTTGAACAATATGATCTTTTTAAAAACATGCAGGTCATAATGAATTTATCAATTATTACACTTCAAAGCTCAGAGAGACATGACTTCACTTGTCCTCTCTTTGAAGTCTGCATTTATTAATCTTTTAATAGAAAAGATATTTTGAATAAGGATTAGAGTCCCTATACCTTTAAAACCTGATAGTGTATATCTAATTGATATTTCAAAGGTCTGCTACATCAGTTTGAAAAGATAGGAGTTATAGAAAATCAGAATTTGTGGCAATTACTCAGTTCTTTTAATTAAACCCAAACGATTGATCTAACTGGCTTAATGCTTATTTCAGGCATCTCCCAGATGAGTTTATGCTCAATGAAGACGGACCAAGGGCAAGGTATAATAAAATATAACTTTTATTTTAATTGAAGAAAAACAATTATTATTTTTTAGAGATGTTGCCACCCCTGGATTAAGGGCTAGTGTTATGGCTTACCGGACAAAAATGTCCAGCTTATTGGAGGTTTTGCATCATTTGGGTAAATTACTATTTTTATAATTTTCAAGAACAATATCATTTGTCGTAAACGACAAAGAAGTTTCTCTCTCTCTCCCTTGTTTACCTTTTATCTTAAAATACAACATTTAAATGTGATACGGTGGGAGGTGATTATATAAATACAATGAAGACGACTTTCTATTTCAATTTTGATTTATATCAAGCTTTAAAAACAGCATGGATAAATAAAAACATGGAAACAAAGAGAAGCTGTCAAGTTAAAAAAATTCCAGTTTCCATTTCGTAAATAGCCAAAATTTTCGGGTTCCATATGTAAACTGAAAAAAATTCCAGGTTTCGTTCCGTAAACCTGAAAAACTGGTTTCCAGAATGGGAATATGAATTTGTGTAGTAAACTCAAAATTTCTTGTTTTCAATATACAGCTATATCAGGAGCCCATTTTATTATTATTATGTTAATAGTATTGGTAACTGGTTTTATCTTTTGCATAAGTTTCAAATGTTTCCAACGTTTTTTTAGGAATATTTCGGAACAATTTTTCCGTAAACTTTAATTTTCCGAAACAATATTCCAGAAAAGTCCGGAATTATGGAACAGGGTTCCGGAAATTTCCGGTTTACGGATAAAAGAGTTGTTCCGGAATTGATCTGGAATTCCGCAATTATGGAACCTTTTCCAAAATGGAAATGGAAAAAAAATTATGGATCATTTCCGTACGTAAACCGTAAGCCGGAATTCCAGTGGAAACCCTAAAAATAATCGAGCAAAACTAACACATTAAGTTTTTTATTAACTTCATTTAGTCAACTTTAAGATTTTGTGGAGCATCTTAAATTCCAATGAATGTTTTAAAATTGATTAATTTTTATATTGTAAGGAACTTTATTTGGGTCCATGGTTAGAAGACAAGGACAAACAGCTACAGATATTGACCAACTTTCTAAGGAAAAAAAAAACAAAATAATATTATTTAAAAATATCTCAACATTTTCGGACGTAATTACACTAATCGTGATCACCAGAAAACTCTGAGATAGACAAACGATTTTAAAGCAATATTTGAGTGTATTTGATGTTGTTATTTACCAGACACCTATTGAATCAGTAATTAAGGAAAATGGGTCTATTTACACTGCACCATTGCACCATTGCTATGTCTCATGCTTATTGGACTTTAAAAATTATAATTTGAATTTAAACGTCGTCTTCCTATTTGAGAGTTTTCTAATTACCAAATAAAACAACTTTGCTAATGATTTGATCCTTATGACTTGTCTGCACAATTAATTTGTTTGCCCTCAACCGTAGTTGAAATAGAAAATGTACACTTTTAAAACAATTTTTTTTTGTTCGAGAATGATCTTCTTTTTCAACAAGGTGATTTTTACTTGTTTGCATTCAGGAGTTTGCTCTGCTCTCCAATAGTGATGTATCCCCTACTTCTGAATGGACGAGAATAAAGGAACAAATGTATTCTGCTTCTAAACAGTTTAGTTTACTGGGTAGGTAAAACCAAAGCTAGGCCATAAGCAGGGGGTGGAAACGTCATGTGTGTGTGTGTCTGTACCAAAAGAGTGTGTGTAAAGTTTACCGTATTGAAGGTGTGTACTGCATGTAGGTATATACAGTACATACAAATCTCGGTACGTATTTGTACAGTTTAGGAGAGGATATTTGTTTATTGTTTATTGTTAATTGTTTACTTAAAAATAAGTTTAATATACATGTAATATATTATTTATATATTTAAGTTAACACTATAAGCCAAATTTTCATGCAAAGAATAATAGTTTACAATAAGCTATCTCCTTATTCAAGCTTAATTATAATTGACAACATTGTTCTTCAATTTCCTTGACTGTAGTCATGTTGTGTGTCTTTACCAATAGAGTGTGTTTAAGGTTTACCGAACTTCTCTGCAAAGCAGCGCGACTGGCTTTCTCTTGCCAGACCAGCGCCATTTTCTTTCCTTTTATTCCTATTTCCTGAAGGTAGGCCATAAGAGAATTTTTTTACTGTACAAAAAACAAATCTGGAATACACAATGAACTCGGTTTCGGTGGCTATATAAACTGGTTTAGCAGTCAGTTTACAAACAATCTAATTAGGGGTTAATTTGTAGAAACATTATCTATAGTTTTGACATGAACATGAAACTGAAAGAGAGAATAAGTCATGCAAAGAAGGCAGTTAAATATCTTAAATTACTGGGGTTCAATTTCATGTTTCGGTTCAAGTCCAGTTTCTGATGCGTTTGTTGACAAATAACCCCTAACAATTAGTACAGCTACCAAGAAGGAGTTCGTCGTCTATTAAAGTATTCTGAGTACAAAATTCTCTTTAGGCTTACATTACCTTGGGTAAGAGTAGTTCTTAGGTACGGTACATAATTGTTAAAATTAAACCCATAAAAAGACTGGAGTGACCGGTTTGATCTATAAAGGCCAAGTTTTCAAATATTTTGGATCTCCTTAAGGTATAAACTGGGAGGTTCATCAAAGTTGAAAAAGTTTTTGACATATATTTTCATTTTATTTTAAACTAAAGGGCATTAAAGAGGTGATTTAAGCAGTACCGGTGAAATACAATTTTGATTTTAATTTTTATAATCGAATTTTAGATTTAATTCTTGGGCAATAACATTTAATGATTGTTAAGAAGAATTAAGAGTTCGTTTCGTTTCACACTCATCAGTTTGTTATCGTTCCAGTTTGTTCAAGAACAGTTCTAACTGCGTTCGTTAATTTTTTTGAACGATGTGATCGTTAATGAGAAATCCGGTTTATTTATTGCTAAAACGACCGTTCCCTGCTAAGAACACCCAGCTCTATATAGTCAAGAATAAAATCCAGCAAACAAGATGAGATGAATCCTGAATCCACTGAACAAGATGAGATAAATCCTGAATCCACTGAACAAGATGAGATAAATCCTGAATCCACTAAACAAGATAAGATAAATCCTGAATCCACTGAACAAGATGAGATAAATCCTGAATCCATTGAACAAGATGAGATAAATCCTGAATCCACTGAACAAGGTGAGATAAATCCTGAATCCACTAAACAAGATAAGATAAATCCTGAATCCACTGAACAAGATGAGATAAATCCTGAATCCATTAAACAAGATAAGATAAATCCTGAATCCACTAAACAAGATGAGATAAATCCTGAATCCACTGAACAAGGTTTTGATAAATCCTGAATCCACTTAACAAGATGAGATAAATCCTGAATCCACTGAACAAGATGAGATAAATCCTGAATCCACTGAACAAGATGAGATAAATCCTGAATCCAATAAACAAGATGATATAAATCCTGAATCTACGAAATTATCATAGACAAACATAAAAAAATAAATCATGAATAGAATCTTTACGCTTTTGAATATTTATTCTAATGAGAATGAAAATCAAAATGCTTCTAAAAATTTCTAAATATAAAAAATGTAATATATAAAAAAATATATAAAATATATAAATGTAAAAAAGAGACAATGACTCTACCCTTTCTCCGGACAAAGAGCATTTATTCAGAGCAGGGTTGACCATCTAGTGCATAGCATCCTATAGAGACATTGTGCTACAGTGCTATTAATTTGATTATGATCTGGTTGAAAATAAAGCCTCTGAGAGAAAATAGTGTGAAGTGTTTTTTTTTAACACCCTTTATTTAGGAAAGAAGTATGCTGTTCTTGAACATGCTGAAGATGATGATTGTCTTCAGAAGGTTCTTCTTCTCCTGGATGTACTCAATGGGTTTGAAGATCTCTCTCAGCGGTGAGTATACAGAGATCAAGTATCAATTAATGATATTCAACACTAAAGGGCATATACCGGCCTCTGAACAATCAATAATTAGAAATATCAAGGTTATAATCCAAGGAAAGTTATTTCACATATTTATGCAGTGTACTGTCTCTGGGCGGTAATGTAAACACAAGTCGGATGTCACAGCCTGACATGGGATCCATCTTTCACAAAAAAAATCAAAGAAATAATCTGGTCATAGGAAGCTATAATGTGAATTATCAAAATTATCAAAATTTAATGCTTTTATCCTCCTCGGATACTAAACGAACAATAATGCATCTATTCTTGTTTACAAATTCCACCCAGAGAGAACTGGTTTCAATATGTACGCAGAGTATACGCAACTGCAATCAACTTTCCTTGCATTATGACCTTGAGAAATATGAAATATGAGAAACAACAAAAAGAAATTTAAAACAAACGTTAAAAAAAACAAAGGCCACCAACATTCCAAAGTTCTTTGGTTATCACTGTATTTTATTACTATCTGTCTTTGCCCTGTAAAAGCATACAGTCAGATAAGTAATACGGAAATAAAATTAATAAAAATGTAACTTATAGCTAGGAATATCAATTATCAAGTAATAACAATAATAATAATCAATATTGCAGAAAACAATATTTTTTTGGTGAATATTTTAAGACTCGAGAAAGGTATGCGTCCTGTGGATTTAAATAAATAAAATAAAAAATGGGAATTGTTAATACATTTTTGTAATGGTATCAACTTTTTAATGAATATTTCCAGACATGAGAAAGGTTTGGCTCAAGACCAGAAAAGAGGAATGGAAAAGCTTGGAATGATAAAACGAAGAGATACAAGGTATCCATTTATTTAAGTTACAATTCTAATAAGTTAATGAAAATTTGCGAGTTGCAAGGAAGATACGCCCCCGCCCCTAGAAATATGTGACAAAAAAGTTAGATTTTTTTCACAGACCGGACTTTTTTTCCATCCTGTTCCCTACCCTTTAAAAAAAAAATTTTTTAACAAAATATCCTCTACACTACTTTTCATTAAAAGTCACAAAATTTCACGGTGATAGTGTCAAAAATGAGAGTGCTAGGACAAAAAAAAACTACAAGGGAGACTCAAAACGCCCCCTCCCCAGTTTGTTTAGGGTTAACGAAAGTTAGCACAGCCTTACTCAGATAAGTGTTTATATCTTTTTTTTTATTTATAGAACCTTAGAAATTAGGTAATATATGATCTGACCGACAACTCTGAGTTGCGCAGGCGGGAACAAATTAAAATAATATATAAGATATTTATTGAAGAGGTGTGCTGATTGTCAACTCTGCATGGCGGGAACAAATTGAACTAATATAAGATATTTGTTGAAGAGGTGTGCTGACTGTCAACTCTACCTGGCGGGAACAAATTGAACTAATATAAGATATTTGTTGAAGAGGTGTGCTGGCTGTAAACTCTACCTGGCGGGAACAAATTGAACAAAGGATTGGGGAACATGAGATTGTACTCTCAGATCTGGAAAGTAGACAGGTACAGTGGGGATACAGAAAAAAGTAGAATGATTGTTGTCTTCTTTAAAACGATTGGAAAACAATTGATTTTGATAATGACCGTTTTGTTGTTTGTTTTTTCTATGTCCTTAACGAATTACGATCAGTTCATTTTTTAAATAAGTGAAAACCATTCATATCCCTAATAGTAGAGGTTACAAAACCCTTTTTTTCAAACTACAAAATCCTAATTGACATTTTAAACTGAAAAGAAGACAACTATCCCAGTAATTCTGGTTAATTTTTAAAATTTTAAAAATTTTAACATTTTTTATGCACTTTCTACAAGTTTGTTCTGAGAAAAATTTGTAAAATCTTGATTCTCGTGTGGAGCTGAGCTTAAATGCCTAAAAGGTTTTCAAATTAAGATCACATTCTTTAATTGAGAGATAAACTTGAAATTAACAGATTAATAACAATACAGATAGAACACTAGATGTCGTCTTTTCTAGATTTAGGGGTTGCTCGTTCACAGTAACCCTGAGGCAGAAGCCAAAATGAGTTACACCCCTGCCGCGTTGAATTACAAGGAATAGTTTCTGATTCAAGGTTTTTGTGAACGAACAATCCCAAAATCTTGAGAAGACGACATCTAGTGTTCTATCTGTATTTATATTAATCTATGTTAAAATTAAATTGACTTTTTCAGGCCTTCGCCCTTCTCTGTATAAATGAAGAAACTAAGCTCTGTCTTCTATATTTTGAAATCCTGGGGAATCTGCTGGAGTCTTTGTCAAGCCTGGAGAACAAGCATCTCTCTGAAATATCTACTCTATGGGCAAACCTCATCAAATAATCTCCTGAAGTCCTTGTCTATTCTGGAGAACAAACATCTCTCCGATATATCCCCTCTCTGATCAAATCTTATCAAATGATTTCCTTGAGTCCTTGGCAAGCTTGGAGAAAAAGAATATCTCAGATATATTCACTCTCTGATTTTAACTCATCAAATAATCTCCCGGAGTCCTTGTCAAGCTTGGAGAACAAGAATATCTCTGATATATCTACTCTCTGGTCTAAAAGCATCATATCATCTCCTGGAGTCCTTGTCAAGCTTGGAGAACAAGTATCTATCCAATATATTTACTCTCTGGTCTAAACTTATCAAATAATCTCCTGGAGTCCTTGTCAAGCTTGGAGAACAAGTATCTATCCAATATATTTACTCTCTGGTCTAAACTTATCAAATAATCTCCAGGAGTCCTTGTCTAGCTTGGAGAACAAGAATATCTCTGATATATCTACTCTCTGGTCCAAACTTAACAAATAATCTCCAGGAGTCCTGTGTCAAGCTTGGAGAACAAGAATATCTCTGATATATCTACTCTCTGGTCTAAACTTAACAAATAATCTCCAGGAGTCCTATGTCTAGCTTGGAGAACAAGAATATCTCTGATATATCTACTCTCTGGTCTAAACTTATCAAATAATCTCCTAGAGTCCTTGTCAAGCTTGGAGAACAAGAATATCTCTGATATATCTACTCTCTGGTCTAACCTCAGCAGATAATAATTCACAAATATTTTTGTGATTTTGCTTTACATATTGAAATTTTGCATTTAATATCTAAGAAGTATTTACCTTTTCTGATTCATTGAAAACGAGAAAACGCAAAAATTTATCAGAATTTAAAAACTTAAAATTTTTTTATAGAAATTTGTAGATTTTGTAGAATTGAAATATAAGTTTTTTTCAATAACTGTATAAGTTTTTGTTTATTATTAGTTTTTTTTATTACACGGGCAACGCCGGGCTCTGCAGCTAGTATTTCGTAACTTTGTAGATATCTTTCCTTGTTGAGACGTTTCCATAACACCATATATTCAAGTAAAACAATTATTTAGTTAATCAGCTAATGACCTTATAGGTGTTATTCGAGTTTTTAATAATTTTAGGTAAAAACATATTTTGTTTGACCCATGGTGGCCCCCAAAGCCCTTCCTTAATTCTAACCCCCACCCCGGCCTATCCTCTCATAATTTGTTGTACCTTTTTAAAAAAATTCTAAGCACATGACAGGTTTTAGATCTCACTAAAAATTACCCCATATTTTTCTGGAAATTGAAAGTATAGGGTTAGCTGATTTCAAAACATGTTTCTAACAAATCTGATGAGCAGCCGTTTTTGAGAAAATTGGGATTTTTCAAATATCGACCTAAAAAAGTGGTAACTTCGTTTAAAAATAATAAATGTAAAGATAAATGTGTTGGGTGAGGACCGGAACCGGATGTAAATATAAGAAAAATCTGTTCTCTGTATTTTCTTTATTTCAGCTTTCTCTAATTTATAACAATCAATCATTAAGATGTCTATGTATCAGCAAAGACATCAGGTTTAGGGGCGATTTTTAATGTTTTTTCTCAGGGGGGGCCAGGAAGGGGGGGGGGGCTTAAATTTGTTTTCCTTTCCAGACGGGGGGCCCCGGGGGTCCATCACGTCACATCCCCCCTCCCAGCTCCCTGACTAAATAGATAACATTTCTTTCACGTTTTAAAAACAGTTTTCAACCCTAAAATTTTGGAAAGAATATTTTTATGACAGCATTTCATGATTGTATATATAGATTGATTCTGAATGATCAAAACAGTGCTAAAGGGAAATTTACTCCCCAAAAGTCCAAGCTATGGACTAAACATTAAAATGTTCCAGGGTCCGTCCTATTTATATATTGATAAGTAGTCTAGCTGCACTATAGACTAAGTTGAACCACAAAGCGCACAATAGAAGTTGTACTGCCGAAAAAGTAATTTTATGAAATCTAGCTATTTCTTGAATTTGGTCCCACTCCCATGAAATAATAAAAAATGATGACTGATGAGACGCCTTTAGAGAAATAATAAGTAAGTTTCCATGTACGATTGGGCGGAATTAATTATTTTTAAACTGAGCTTTAAGGAAAGTTGGGTTTTAGCAATCTCCAATCAAATTACAAATTTTTTTGTAATACACATTTGAAAAAATATCATTTGAACATTCTTTATTTATTAAAGTTGTGTTGAAAAGAAAACTGATGTATAAAAATGCATAAATTTTCAACACTTTGGCCTTTAATTTTTTTTATAGCCTTCGATATATGAATTTTTTTTAACTATCGATAACTTTGTTTAACCTTGAATCAAGCATTCCATCACTTTAATTTAACGCTAAACATGAATATTTTAACACTTTTCTATCATTAAAAATATTTATTTTTACCATTGAAAGACGTCTTTGATCTTTAGTTTGATTTGTGACAATCAGTCGTTAACCTACTTTAACATTGTATGATTCTTGAAACAAAAAACCACAAAACTCTTCTAGTCCTGGCATTTCCAACATGGAGTCTGCCTTTTTAGTGCTGTCAATATTACCGGAGATAATAAGAATTTCGTTCAGATTTCAATTTTATTAAAAAAAAAAATTGTCGAAATCTAAACGAAATTAAAAGCACAAAAAAGGAAGACAACATTTTGGAAATGCCAGAACTAGAGGTTTTTTAGTTATTTTTATCTCTAAAGTTTTACTTCTAAGATTAGGTTGACAAATAAAAGCAGCAAGTTTATCCAAAAATCAAAGACGACCTTCAAGGCGTTTTGCTACTGTCATGTTTTGTGGGACACCCTGTGTATTAAAGTACAAGCTCTGTTTTGTGGGACACCCTGTGTAATACAGGACAAGCTCTGTTTTGTGGGACACCCTGTGTATTAAAGTACAAGCTCTGTTTTGTGGGACACCCTGTGTATTACAGGACAAGCTCTGTTTTGTGGGACACCATGTGTATTACAGGACAAGCTCTGTTTTGTGGGACACCCTGTGTATTACAGGACAAGCTCTGTTTTGTTGGACACCCTGTGTATTAAAGTACAAGCTCTTTTTTGTGGGACACCCTGTGTATTACAGGACAAGCTCTGTTTTGTGGGACACCCTGTGTATTACAGGACAAGCTCTGTTTTGTGGGACACCCTGTGTATTACAGGACAAGCTCTGTTTTGTGGGACACCCTGTGTATTACAGGACAAGCTCTGTTTTGTGGGACACCTTGTGTATTACAGTACAAGCTCTGTTTTTTTGTTCCACATCAAATTGTTCTATTGCGAATTACAATTTTTAATCTAATTTTTCTTCTTCTTTTTGTATGCAATTTTTAAGTATAATATGCATGTTAGTATTTAAGCAAAAAGTATCTTGATTTGTTTCAATAATTCCCAGATTTATAGTTGTTTAGAAGATTTTATATTTCATGTTATTTCATTTATCTACAAATAAAAGAGTTTTTATTTGACGGTTTTTTATATTTGAATTATTTAAATGATTATCATCCTTGGAAGGAAAAAGGAGTTTATAACATTAAACCACGCATGTCATGAAGTCACCTTAATGAATTAATTTTTAACGCATGCATAAAAACTTATTTTAATTACTAATTAGAAGCATGATCAGAAATTCTTTGATAACATTTTTTTAAATCCATTTTTATTATATATTTAAATTTTTTCCATAAAATTCTTTGATTTTTTTTCAATTTTCTCCTGAAATATCCAGGACACTCACTCCTAGTCTATCATAGTCCTTTCTCCTGTATTCTCCTGTATTCTCCTGCAACTCTTGTCTCCTGTGTATGGGTGAACACATGTTAAAAGAAAGCTTTCTCCTGACCCAACTTTTATTCTAAAGAATGTGCATGAAAACAAAACATTAAAGTGAAAAAATCTTAAATCAAAGGGACGGTAAGCGTTTATTTAATAAGTCCCAATGGAAAGATTGCAATGCCTTATTTACAAGTTTACAACTTTAGTCTTGAAAGCGTTATCAATAGCGATATCAATGTTTTTGTTTCTTTAAACTGATTATTTTCATTTTTGATTTCCCAGCAAAAGTGACTCACGCATTTATTTTTGATAAGAAGCAATGGAGAAATTATCAAAGTGAACACATTTCGAGTCTAGAAAACTTCCACAATTTTATCATATCATTATTCAAAAATACCGAATTCTAAGTCGGGCATTGTCATTTTTGGAATGAGGGTAACTTGAAATAACGCTCACAATCCCTTTAAAGAACTTCATCTGAATACCGTGTCTAAAACATTTCACGTGAAGTATATTTCTAAACTGTTCAAAATGTCGGAGGATGGTGGTGGATGTTTTGGGTTTAAGAAGAAAACTGTTGTCATGTCCTGTATAGGTAAATATAGAGTTTATATATTAAAGAGGGGTTTACCCGACTCACAACGATACCTGTAAACTTAGCATCTAGCTTAAAACCTATCATCTAGCTTGAAACCTAGCATCTAGTTTGAAACCTAGCATCTAGCTTAAAACCTAGCATCTAGTTTGAAACCTAGCATTTAGTTTGAAACCTAGCATCTAGCTTGAAACCTAGCATCTAGTTTAAAACCTAGCATTTAGTTTGAAACCTAACATCTAGCTTGAAACCTAGCATCTAGATAAAAACTTAGCATCTAGATAAAAACTTAGCATCTAGCATCTAGCTTGAAACCTAGCATCTAGCTTGAAACCTAGCATCTAGCTTGAAACCTAGCATCTAGCTTAAAACCTAGCATCTAGTTTGAAACCTAACATCTAGCTTGAAACCTAGCATATAGCTTGAAACCTAGCATCTAGATAAAAACCTAGCATCTAGCTTGAAACCTAGCATCTAGCTTGAAACCTAGCATCTAGCTTAAAACCTAGCATCTAGTTTGAAACCTAGCATCTAGCTTGAACCTAGCATCTAGCTTGAAACCTCACCTTGTAGTAAAACCAAATGTGTTCAAGATCAAAACATGGATATCTACATCTAACATCTAGTTCATATTTGATCAGACAAACCTATTAAAGATATCTTTGTGAATCAAATTTTAATCTGCGCATTGTTCTAATGCAAGGAAAGTTAGTTGCAGTTGCGTATACTCTGCGTACATATTGAAACTTATAGTTCTCTTTGGGCGGACTTTGTAAAAAAGAAGCATCATTGTTCGTTTAGTGTCAGAGGGGGTCAAACGCATTCAATTTTAATAATTTTGATAATTCACATAATAGTTTCCTATGACCAGAATATTTCATCTCGAATGTACTGAAAATGTTGTCTCCTTAGCTGAGATTATCAAACAACCATTTAAGATTTTCAACACTTCTAATAATTTACAAAAATCTTAAAATATTCAAGTTAATTAATATTTTGATTTGCTTGCTGTATTATCAATTTGGTTGGTTCAGTTGCCAAATGAACCTATTATATTTACAAAGCATTATTAAACCTTTCTTGCCAACTGATGGGTTTTTGGCACAAAATAAAATCATTGCAATCTTTTGATATTTCAAACTTATACTAATTAAACAGAATTCATAATTTGTTATATTTATGAACTACGCCATTGGGTAGCAAAGATATAGGAATTCGAAAATCAGAGTTTGTTACAAAAATTTAGCTGGATTATGTTCCTAATTTAATTTTTAATTTTCAGCTTTATGTTGTTTGAGTCTTGTAGCCTGGACTATACTTGTAACAGCACATACTACTGTAGTTCCATTAAACTCTGGTGGAAACTCCTCTGCACTTAACTCTACTCTCAACTCTACTCTTTGTACCTTTAACTCTAGTGTTAAACTGGAACAGGTAATAACCTTTTAAATACGATTTTTTAAATAAAAAATTTTGTTTATATCATCTATATATATAATTTGCTTGTCTTTTTGTATCCAAAATACATCAAAACGGCTGAACCGCTCGGGCCCAAATTTTGTGTGGGACCTTTAATGACTACAGGGAAGGTTTAGTGATATAGGTCTGTTTACATTTCACAATCACAGCGATTTTAAAAGTCTTAAAAATTCTAACAGTCTCGGTTGTTATTACCGAAATATGATGTTGGTTACATTTATTTCATGAAAATCATTTTTAACATTTCTCTAAGAAAAAAAAACAAGTTTACCAGTTGCAGAGTGCAGCGAATCATATGTGTACGTAAACAGACAATATAAATTCCACACAGTCGTCTCTGAAATCTCATCTTTTTTTGGGTAACCCTGTAAATCAGTCTATTAAGATATTTTATGTAAAATTGTTCTATTAAAATGTTTAAGGTTAAAATAGTCCTATTAAAATGTTTTATGGTAAAATTGTTTTATTATAGTGTTTTATGGTAAAATAGTCCGATTAAAATGTTTAAGGTAAAAATATTGTTCTATTATAGTGTTTAAGGTAAAATAGTCCTATTAAAATGTTTAAGGTTAAAATAGTCCTATTAAAATGTTTTATGGTAAAATTGTTCTATTATAGTGTTTTATGGTAAAATAGTCCTATTAAAATGTTTAAGGTAAAAATTGTTCTATTAAAGTAGTTTATAATAAAATGTTTAAGGTTAAAATAGTCCTATTGAAATGTTTAAGGTTAAAATAGCCCTATACAAATGTTTTAGGTTAAAATGGTTCTATTAAAAGAAAACTCTACATCAATTTCAAGAAAAAATTTAATTCAAAAATCTGATGGTGCTACTATTCCACTCTGCAAATGTCTCTGCAGGTACAATTTCTTCAATTTTTTAGTCCTCAATTTCATTAGCTCTTATTTAAGTTTTATCAATGGGTTAGATTAAAGATTTGTTATCTCTCACTCCTACATCAAGAAATTTCATTTTAAAGAACTCAAATTTTCTAATTCTTATATATTTGCAACCTGCTGGTGTAAACCTCTGAATGATATTTCAAACTTAAAATATTTAATTTAACAGAAAATATAGGTTATAATATCTAAGATCTATGACATCGGGTTGCAAAGATAAATGGATTAGAGTTTTTAACAAAACTTAGTTAAAATTAGAAGAATATTCAATTGATCAAGATAAATATAAAACGGTGTAAAAAAATCAAATGAAAACTGAGAAATTCTGTTTATTTTAGATTGAATATAACTGAAGAACTGCTACTGGAAGCCGTCAAGTTCCTGAAGTTAAATAGCACAGCTCCTATTGCAGGACCCAACAAAAAACTGACAGACAAGGAAATGATTAGTTACAACAATGCGTATAAGGGTTATTAGTGTAAAATCAAGGGTGTTCCAGAAAACGGTAAATTGAAGCGAGAATCTCGATTTTTATTGATGTGTAAAGTTTTTTTTGAGAATGCAATTATGTTTTTTTCAGCTTTAAAAGTACCATTTTTGTCTTTGAGGGACTGACATTGGTATTTTAAGTTTAAAGAGGTGAAGGAAACCCTACTCACAAGAGTACCTTTCTACCTGGTTCTGATCAATAAAATGTAGTATGGAAGATATAGTCGTTTTTCTATCTTATTTCTGCAGCATAAATCCGCATTTGACTCTTACAGATAAAAAACTAAAAAAAATCATAGTTTCAGTAGAAGTAAATATTTCCATTTGCTGATAGCGCCGATATAAGGATTTACATCTAATTGGATGATGAGATAGATAGAAAGATAGATGTTACTGACATACTATTTCTATTGGTTCAGTATAGACAACAAACACATGGCTGAACCCTTATTGGATCAGAACAGACAAAAAACACATGACTGAATCCTGATTGGTTCAGAACAGACAACAAACACATGACTGAACCCTGATTGGTTCAGAACAGACAACAAAAACACATGACTGAATCCTGATTGGTTCAGAACAGACAACAAACACATGACTGAACCCTGATTGGTTCAGAACAGACAACAAACACATGACTGAACCCTGATTGGTTCAGGCGCTAATGGACTCGACATACAGGAGTGGGCAATTTGAAATTAAGACGATATTAACCTTTATTTAGATTTAGTCTCAACATGTTTAATTCACAACTTTTATCAATGAAAATGTAAAGAATCCTGATGGATCAGGTCGGGGTTAAAGAGGATGCTCAAGAACTTGGAGGTGGTGGTGAAGCAGGAGCAAGTTCTGGAGGTGTAAACATCAATATTGCTTCAGATGCAGATATTCAGACATACTCTGGGAATTAGAAGTTATTCCCGTTAAAGCCCTCAAGAGGCATTACAATATTTTCAATATGGACATTAGAAGTTATTCCCGTTAAAGCTCCCAAGAGGCATTACAATATTTTCAATATGAACATTAGAAGTTATTTCTGTTAAAGCTCCCAAGGGGCATTACAATATTTTCAATATGGACATTAGAATTTATTCCCATTAAAGCCCCCAAGAGGCATTACAATATTTTCAATATGGCCATTAGAAGTTATTCCCGTTAAAGCTCCTAAGGGCATTACAATATTTTCAATATGGACATTAGAATTTATTCCCATTAAAGCCCCCAAGAGGCATTACAATATTTGCAATATGGACATTAGAAGTTATTCCCATTAATGCTCCCAAGAGGCATTACAATATTTTCAATATGGCCCTTTTCTTCATTACATCTGTTCTACCATGTCATTTGTGCAATATGAGTCGTTCTAATTGCAGCAATATAAATTTGCCCCTGGAGGAGGGGGGAGTGGAATTGGATCAGGGAGTTAGGGTTGGGGGGTTGAATTTGTCTAAAGCTTAATTTAATTGCCAAAATTAGAAATGAACAACGAAAAATAATGAAGCAAAAATGATATCATACAGTTTTGTCAATACCGGGAGAAGCTGAAAAGCCTATCTATTTTTAAGCTATTACAAGTTTACACAGTAAATACATTTAACTTCCCTCTCCCAGTAACCCTGTGTCTGAAATCAATGAATCTAAGCCATGTCTTAAATCCCCCAAAAACCGGTTTTAATTGACCGACGGCTTAAATCTTGAAAAATTCAATACAAATTTAAGTGGAACCAACCATATTTGAGCTGCGGCTTATATTTAATCCGCGGCTCAAATTCTTTAAATTCGGCCTCAGGTTGCAGTTCTTGGCCGTTGTGTACATGAAGTACCATCAGACTTCATGTGAGCAAATGACTGATAGAATAAATGGAAAATAAAGAATAAATGTCTACAGAGAGAAGACTATGGAACAATTGTCGAAGTGCCTTCTCCTAAAATATAAAATGTATAAATATAAAAATTCAAATTCAGGAGATCAGTTTAATGGGACCTTAGAAGTAATTTCAAATTACCCTGTAAAAGCTTTGTCAAGAATAAAGTTATCCATGTTTTTCTCTTTCAAAATTAATCAATTGTGGTTTCTTATCGCATATTTTCATTCAGTTTTAACTTTATATATTTATATTCCCAGTCCCTAAAGTATATTCCCAGTCCCTAAAGTATATTCCCAGTCCCTAAAGTATATTCCCAGTCCCTAAAGTATATTCCCAGTCCCTAAAGTATATTCCCAGTCCTTAAAGTATATTCCCAGTCCCTAAAGTATATTCCCAGTCCCTAAAGTATATTCCCAGTCCCTATTGAATTTGAAAGGAATTGAGTCTTTGCCACAAACTTTGATTTTCTAAACACTATATCTTTGGAACCAAATGTTGAAGACCCTAAATATTTCAAACTATGATTTCTGTTAGATCAAATATTCTGAGCTTGAAATATCAAAGGTTTACAACATCAGGTTCTAAAGATATGGGGGTTTGAATATTTGAGTTTATGGCAAATAATAAATTCTACTTTGTAAAGAATTTCAAATATTTAGTAAAAAAAAATCATACAAATAGTTTCCATTTTTAATTTTGGTTTGTTTCAATTATTATCTGTTATAATTTATGACTGATCACAGAACTGAAATCATTCTTTGATTTTTGTGATATTATTTTGAATTTTGAACTTAATGTATTCGTTTATCATCACTAATAAAATATATTTATTTTCCATCTATCTTATTATTGAAAGAAATATCTATTAATATAATAAAATTAATTTTGATGACTAGACCTTAAATCATTTCATTCATTCAAGCCTAAAACCCTAAAAATAATATTATTTGATGGCGACCTATGGCCTGTAATCATCAGCAGATAAATTTAACTATTTGTGAAATTCTTTTTTATAGCCAGTCTTGATGTTTTAAATCCCTGTTCCATGTTTTAAATATATTGCTGTTCCATGTACCAAATATATTGCTGTTCCATGTTCCAAATATATTGCTGTTCCATGTACCAAATATATTGCTTTTCCATGTTCCAAATTTATTGCTGTTTCATGTACCAAATATATTGCTGTTCCATGTTCCAAATATATTGCTGTACCATGTACCAGATATATTGCTGTTCCATGTACCAAATATATTGCTGTACCATGTATCAAATATATTGCTGTACCATGTACCGAATATATTGCTGTACCATCTACCAAATACATTGCTGTTCCATGTACCAAATATATATCTGTTCCATGTTCCAAATATATTGCTGAACCATGTTCCAAATATATTGCTGTTCCATGTACCAAATATATTGCTGTTCCATGTACCAAATAAATTGCTGTACCATGTACCAACTATATTGCTGTACCATGTACCAAATATATTGCTGTTCCATGTTCCAAATATATTACTGTTCCATGTAGCAAATATATCCTGTACCATGTTCCAAATATATTACTTTTCCATGTTACGAATATATTGCTGTTCTATGTTCCAAATCTATTGCTGTACCATGTTCCAAATATATTGCTGTTCCGTGTTCCAAAAAAATTGCTGTTCCATGTACCAAATATATTGCTGTTTCATGTACCAAATATATTGCTGTTCCATGTACCAAATATATTGCTGTTCCATGTAATATATATCTGTTCCTTCCATGTACCAAATATATATCTGTTCCATGTGTTCCAAATATATTGCTGTTCCATGTTCCAAATATATTGCTGTTCCATGTTTCAAATATATTGCTGTTCCATGTACCAAATATATATCTGTTCCATGTACCAAATATATTGCTGTTCCATGTTCCAAATATATTGCTGTTCCATGTACCAAATATATTGCTGTTCAATGTTTCAAATATATTGCTGTACCATGTACCAAATATATTGCTGTTCCATGTACCAAATATATTGCTTTTGTATGTTCCAAATATATTGCTGTACCATGTACCAAATATATTGCTGTACCATGTACCAGATATATTGCTGTTTCATGTACCAAATTTATTGCTGTACCATGTACCAAATATAAAGCTGTTCCATGTACCAAATATATTGCTGTTCCATGTACCAAATAAATATCTGTTCCATGTTCCAAATATATTGCTGTACCATGTTCCAAATATATTGCTGTTCCATGTACCAAATATATTGCTGTTCCATGTACCAAATAAATTGCTGTACCATGTACCAAATATATTGCTGTACCATGTACCAAATATATTGCTGTTCCGTGTACTAAATAAATAGCTGTACCATGTACCAAATATATTGCTGTACCATGTACCAAATATATTGCTGTTCCATGTACCAAATATATTGCTGTTCCGTGTACCAAATATATTCCTTTTCCATGTACCAAATATATTGCTTTTCATATTCCAAATATATTGCTGTTCCATGTACCATATATATTGCTGTACCATGTACCAAATATATAGTTGTTCCATGTTCCAAATATATTGCTGTTCCATGTACCAAATATATTGCTGTTCCATGTACCAAATATCTTGCTGTTTCATGTACCAAATATATAGCTGTTCCATGTTCCAAATATATTGCTCTTCCATATCTATATATAAATTTGGCTTGTCTGTTTGTCTGTTTGTCTGTTTGTTTGTTTGTTTGTTTGTATCCATAAACGTCAAAACGGCTGAACCGATCGGGCCCAAATTTTTTGTGGGACATCAAGGGACCCCAGGGAAGGTTTATGAAAAATCAAAATTTCAAATATTTGTCTCTATCAAAATTCGATCGTCATTAAATTTTTAAAAATTTTGAAAATCCGGGAAATTTTTTGTAAAAATCCGCGAATTATTTTTGTTTTGTTTTACGATGTACATAAAGAGAACATGTCTAAGGCTAGAAAGAAGGGCGCGAAGCGCCTTGAATTTCTAGTACTAAATATATTGCTGTTCCATGTTCCAAAAATATTGCTGTTTATGTTCCAAATAAATTGCTGATTCAAAGAATAATTTTGTTCAATTATCAATGGTTCAAAGACCACCCTGTAACAATCTAACTAGAGCTGAAAATTTAATTTAGAATGGTGGATATCAACATGAATGCTTGATCTCCTAGTTTTACTAAACCCAAATTATTTTAGAACGCATTCGAATTCGATATCCAAGAAAGAAGTTTTTTAAAAAAATTTAATCAATCAGCGTGTACTCTTTAACTTTTGAAAAACCGGTTTAAATTTCTTGTGTTTATGGTGTCATATAAATTGAACTAAACATCGATTGAACGAACGTAAGTTTTGGATTCATGTTTATCAATATTAAAACTAACGTTCAAAAGTCCTAAAATATTTTTTTAACAATTTCAGATTAACATGATTAAATCTATTTTTGTTAAAATGCTCTAAAAACCGTCTTGTAAAGAAGAATTATAAGAAGAAAACCAAAAGTGTATACATTAGATAATCAAATTAAGCAATCGAGATCTGTTCAGCTCAGAAGTGGTTCAAGGAGGGGGGGGGGGACGTCCCCCTGGATAATTTCCCCCTCCCTGTAACTTTTGGTTGTGTTTATGGTTTTCAGGGAAAAGGGAAAATCGTTTTACTAACATTTCGCATTTTTCGCGAATTTTTTTTTTCGCAAACATATTGCTTCATTTTAACAGTTCCTTTGAGAAAATTTTGCAAAAAAAATGCGAAAATGTCGCAAAAATTTCGCGGGAAAATGCGAAAATACTGCGAAAATTTCGCGAAAGAAATATGTTGTAAATTTTATTGTGGACGGACAGACAGAAAGATAGCTAGCAAAATCAAATTCTCTTCATTAAACATTTAAAAAAGTAAATGAAGAGAAATTATTTATATGACATAATAAAACTTTAAATATTGAACTATCAGAGATAATAATTCGACACGTTCTTTTGAGCAATAAATTTTGCACCTTTAAACTCACGGATTTCACAAAATTTTCGCATTTTCGCGAAAACCAAAAATTTTCGCATTTTTTCTTAAAACGTTTCATTTGCTGAACACCCTAGTTGTGTTGAGTGCAGGTCTAAATTAAAATCATCATGACAAGATTGCTTCATTTTCTTTTCTTTTCAATATCACTGATACTACAGATGATCACTATGATTAGAAATGATTAATGTGAGTTTCTTGATGTTTTAGTTTATCCAACCCGAGCTGAAAACTTTTGAATGGGATATCCTTACTCCTGATCGGATAATTAATCTGGAGATTAAAAATGAGAGGAGAACAAGTAATATTTAATCTCGAGATTAAGAAAAAGAGTGTATTAAGCATTAATCCTGATATCCACCATTCTAAAGTTTTCAGCTCAGAGGTTTTATTCTTGTCTATTTTTATTCTTCTTTAATACAGTGCAAGTATAAATATGCTTTCTTATGATTACATTAATAAATAAAATATTTTGAAAGGTTTTGTCAACAACAAAAAGTTGTAAATAAATATTTCAATGAATGTTCGTAGTGTCTGCCACAATTCTCCAAACAGAGTCGCTCTTCTCCTGAAATGTTTCAGCTGCTCTCCTAAGTTACGCTCTTTTCACACTTGTCCACATTTTTCATGTGGTCCAGACTGCTGGGTGTGGTATCCAAAACTAGAAAAAACTAATGTTTTAAAAACGACTCACTCTTTTTGAAATTTTAAAAAACGAATAACGATCGTTTTTGAGAACGATTGTTTTATAAAAACGATCAGCGATCATGTTTTAAACGATTATTTAAAAAAACTGTAGTTTTGAAAAAAACGATCGTTTGTGAAATTTGTTTTTCATTGATAAATATGTTGACTATCGTTAACAAAGGGTGGTCGTTAACTATTGTGAATGGAGGGTTGTCGTTAAGGATTGTTAACAAAGTGTCGTTAACGATTGTTAATGAAACAACAAACTTTATAAAAACTGTGGTTTTTGAAAAACAATCGTTTTGGAAAAAAGATGACATGCAACTTTATCAAATGTAGTCTTATGTGAAGGTAAAAAGTTGTGGGGGAGCTAAAACTTCCTAATATTTTCATTAAAACTGCTCAATGATAAGTACTAATCCCCTTCAGGGCAGTTTGCTCTCTCCTCCTCTCTTTGTTAACGATCGTCAACGAAAGGGTCGCCGTTAACTATCGTTAGTGAAGGGACATCGTTACTGATTGTTAACGAAGGGATGTTGTTAACGAGCATTAATGAAACACCAAGCTTTATAAAACCGATCTTTTTGCAAAACGATCCTTTATAAAAACGACCGTTTTGAAAATAACCCTTTTTAAAAAACAAACTTTTCTAAAAAAACTATCATTTTGGAGATGAAACTGTTCTAGAACTTAGACCTGTCCTATTTGTAGAACCTCTAACAGATGGCCAAACCTTTGTCTTTAACATTTCGAAATACTGATCCCTAAAGTTTGAACCTTCAAACCAGTCGATAGAAAGGAGTTTCACTTAAAAAAATCCGACCCAAGCCATTACTTTCTAAACTCCCTTTTCTCTGAATTCCTCTAAATTGTTAGGTTTGTAATAGACAAAGTGACTTCATTTTTTTGTTGTATGGGAACAAAGGCGGAACGGAACCACTTTTTAACATGAGAATTTATCCTTTTTTGGGCCATTCCTCCCCCTGATCTAGAAACCTCTGACAGGCCCGCAAACGTTTTTTTTATCTTTTGTTTTAAACCGCTTTGAAATGTCATCTTTATTTGATTTCCATGAAGATGTCATCTGTGAAAGACGACCAGCCAATCAGTAGCCAGGGAATAATATATTCAACCGATGAAAGAACACTTAAAGAGAAATTGCAGACATCCATAGTAATATTCAGAGCAAATTCCAAAATGCACACTGTGGATATTTCTAGATAAAAACAAAAGAGAATATGGGTATTCAAAAAAAAGTTTCTAGTTCAATACCCTACTGCACTTACACAGGAGTAAACATCAATAATCTCAGATGTCTATATAAGAAGTTTCATTGATCTTAGATAATTGATTCAGCTACGTCAGATTATCTGTATCTGCAAGTATGCCATTTTTATCCACTTAATGGACAAGGTGCAGGTAATAGAGTAAAAATAGACAATATCATAAAGATTAAATCATTTTATTGTTTGAAAAGCATAGTTTACACTTTTATTAACTAATATTTTTTATTAAATTACTCACTAACCTTTAAACAATGCACTCTAATTTTAAATTGACTTTGTTAACAGTGCTTGTTACTTTGATGAATTGTGACAAAAACTGTTTATTACATATCATGTCAGATGAAAATCAAACACAATATCGATCATTAAATTTCTAAGAATACTATTTAACAAATGTTAGAACAGACCAGGATATAAGTAGTTTCAAAGCAGTGTTAGGTCTAACACAGTTCTATTTACATTATGCTTCTTATTTTATTGGTAAGTTAACAACTGTTCTTCACTACTGTAAGCACTCATCAAAAATTATGGTTGGTTGACAGAGAAATTATGGAAAAATTACTTAACCAATTTAAGAGTTCCCTACAGGCTTAAATCTCTTATCTCTGGTTTAGATAAAGTAAGGTTTCAATTTCTGGAAGATGTGGTTGCTCACAATTTTGAAGTCTATTGAGATTGTGCAGTGCAGTGTTACCAATTAATTTGTCTCAAGTGACAGTTAAATACCACAATATTCCCCTTAGGGAAAATCATGGATCAGTAATGTAGAACAATAGGCAGTTAATTTTACTTTACCATGGGTTCCCAGGACACATTTTACCTTCATAACATTCAGAGCACAGATAGGGATGTTATTTAGACAACATTTTTCGAGGGAACCTGAGTATAATCTATAATTTCCTGAAAAAGCATTTGTAAACAATTTTATTGTCATTTGAGATAACATTGCGCACATTGTTTCTTAAATATTTTGTAGAGTGAGTGGTTATTGTAGAGAACTTCCCCAAGGGATGTTAAGTAACTTAACCTCCCTCTGTTGGGAGAATCATAGGTCTGTAATATTGGGCTAAAGGGTCTTTAAGCATGAACACATCATTTCTAACTTCAACAATGATCTATGCTGAATGTGACATGATCTAATTATAACACATTCTGTACATTATAGTTAGCTGCTAGTTGTGACTCCTGGAAGATTAGGAATCATGATAAGGAGCTTTCAAGGTAAGTTGAACATTATCTGTGGATAATTCATATATACATCTCACAAGTCTGAAATACCTGGTAATTGGTTTTTGAACATACACATTGCTTACTTTGAAACTTAGAATTTCACTTTGAAATTCCTGGCACACAAGTTTTCTAATCAATAAATTTCCAGAAACACTACTTAAATGAATTATTCAAAATCTGAACTTCTGCCAATGGTAGGACATATGTGTAGATGGAGAAAAAAAATTTGCAACCTTTCATTTTTTTAAAGTGAAAACCTGATGCCGAGCTGGGAAGAAACCGAACATTATGAAATTGTTAATGAAGAAGTAGAAGATATTCCTGAAATAACAAGTACTGGTAAAAAATCATTTTTAACATTATCATTTCCATGACAATAAGAGCTTGAAACTATGCACCTAACAAATAACAATTTGCTTTCAAAAAGATATATTTGTCAAAGTTTTATTATTTTTCAATGACAATTGTTGTGTTAAGAATTCTGGCTTTAAGCATTGTCGGCATTAAATTTATCCCTTTTTGGTTATCAAATAATGGTCCTGTTTCACAAGCATATTTAAAATTGAAAGATTTCGCATTTTTTATTATATTTTTATGTTATTAAAGTTGAAAATAAGAATTAGCATTGGCTAATAGCGCTATTTTAGACAAGAGTGTTAAGATCTTCAATATAAGTTGGTTCTCAATACTTTATGGTCCAAAAATTATTTATACAATTTTTTAAATTTCAAATTAATGTTATTTACAAATTCTACTTCTAATATTTAATACATTATTGTAGATATCCAGAAGCTAAAATACTGGCTCGAACATCAACAATTAAAGAAAAAAAGTGTTAGGAAATGTAGATGTAAAACCTCATCCAAACCACCACGGAATAATAAGAGGAAATCTGAAAAATCAAGTCCATCTTGGAAGACCACTGTAACAAGCTCCTCAACTTGGGCTGAAACTGATCCGGCATCAACAATGAATACTGACACAACTCAGATGAAGGATGTAGAAAGTCAGAAGGTGGAAAATGTGACCACATTAGAACCTATGAAAGTATCTGTAACTGAAGTCAATAAGACTTCCAATCCTTCTGATGGAGCTGACTATTTTGATCCTTAGAGGGCTTTAACTGCCATCACTAAGAAGTCTTTAATCACTGAAATTGAATGAGTTCTGAAACTTATTTTTAACCTATTAAATCTGAAACTGATTTTTAACCTATTAAATCTTTAGTTAATAAAGAATTACTTAGAATTAATTGTTAGTTATTAAATATCTCTTTGATTATAATGTAAAGGACAAAGATTAGTTAACATATTCCTTTAGCACGAACAGAGATTTTTAGAGAAAAAGATTTTATACGGGAGAGAAAAAACATAATGAATTATATATATTAATAGTGTACGAGAAATGGATACCTCAAGACTCTCCAAGACCCTCAAATTCTTCAAAAAATATCAAATTTCATCAAATACCTTGTAATATGATATATAACCATTAAAATATTAGAGTATCCTGCTCCCCATCCCCTGTATCAGGCATATTCTCTGTTAACCCCCATGGCATGAAGTAGTCTTGTGTCAGGTCAAACCAACAAGGTTATAGTGTATAGAGTGATGATGTACGCTAATCCTGTACTAATTGTATAGGCCATAAACTATACCAAGAGCGTACTGCATATTTGTTTATTATAAGTTGATTCTGGCCTAACCTATAGTTAGGGTTGTTAATCGTTTTTGAAAACGATCCTTAAACGATCGTTTTTTGTTTCATTTTCAAAAACGATCGTTCTAACAATATGATCCGGCATGCAGGCCCTGTTGCAAGAGAGCACCTTCTAACCATGTTCAACAAAGTGATTGTCAGAGGTCAAACCCCAGCAAGCTGGAAAGAAGGTGATGTTGTTTTAATACTGAAGAGACCCCCCGCAGACTGATGTAAACAATTATCTGCTAATAACGTTGATTAGCTGTATATCAAAGCTGGTAACAAAAATATTAGCAAAGCGCTTCAGCGAAGCTCTACAGAATGATGATGTAATCGGATGAGAACACAACAGGTTCTGATCCTTCAGGACTTGTGGAGATAATATGTTCATCTTGAATTCCATCTTAGAAATGAATAAAAACAAGAAATTGTTATCGCACCTGTTATTTGTGGACTTGAAAGAGGGTATGATAGAGTGGATTGTGACATCCTTCTATGTAAGCTAAAACAACTGAATGTTAGTGATAAATTTACCAATTTCCTATCAAGTTATTACTTCTTAGACAACATTTCAACAGAGTCATCTGGAAAAAGAACCTTTAAACAATATCAAAAACGAGGTCTAAGTCAAGGATGTAATTTAAGTAGTATCCTATTCATCTTATATATGATAGAGCTGAGTGCAAGGATGAGAGCCAGTGGTGTAGGAGTTCACCTGGAGTCTGGAAAACTTGTAAACATACTTCTTTTTGCTGACAATATCATCATTATATCTCTCCGAAATCGCTAGCAAAACTGAAAGCGATACTTGAACAGTGGTGTAAAGACTATAGAATGAAGATTTCAGTCAGCAAGACGAATATTACAAGATCATTAGAAGATCTTATCTGTAAAGTAATAGATACCAACACCCTAGAAGAGGAAATTGTGGCTGACGTAAACAATTATAAATATTAGGAATTAAGCAGTTTTCATCAACGTGGCGCACAGCACAAAGAAAAGGTCAAGATATGATTAGCCGTGCATTAAAGTACAAAAATGTCATCTTGAGAACCCACTACAGTCTAGTAGACAATATCTCATCCTCATCTGCAATATGGCAAAACATAGCCATTCCAGGTATTCTCTGTGGAATGGATGCCATCCATCCCTGTATCTTCTGCCGTAATTCAAGAAATAGAGATAATTCAGAATCAAGTAGGGAAGGCTCTTATAAGAGCTCCTCAGTCCAAGGAAAACGTAGTAGTACAGGTGGAATTAGGATGGAAACCCTTCAAGTTACTGGTGGAAAAATGCAAGCTACACATTTTTTTCAAAGGCTTAACAGCCAAGACTTCAAGGGAAGCAGCCTGCTTAAATCTTGCATGCTTCACCAAAACAATCTATACATAACCAACACCATGGATATACTAGGGCATTTAGGAAATTCCCCTATGGAGCAGATGGAAATAAGTACTAAACAACTTCACCAAGGGTATGAGCAATAATAATAATAAGGTGTGAGAATTAGTTTTTGATGATTCTTGATTCCATTTAAGAACAAATATGTATTTAGAAACAATTACTGGATTTCAGCTCATGTCGCGTTTTAGGTACATATCCTGGTTTTGAGGCAATTACTAGAATTCATATCAATGTAATTTTCTAGTATTTACACATTTTTGAAACAAAACAAGATTTTTTGATAAGGTTAATTTAAACAAAATAGGAAATAAAAACAAACTGTTCTTTTATAATTTTTAAATTAATTACAGCATTTATTTTTACAATATTGATTTAAATAGAAATGTGGGAAACTGTTTGTTTGAGAAGCTTGAAAATAAATCATCCAATATTCTCTAATTTAACAGATAAAATGTGGAAACTTAGATTCTAGAAATAATTCAGAAGTTAATTTAGTCTTCATAAAATAATTTTTGTTTTTAGTGATTTATTTTTTGTTTTAAAAGTGAGTTTTGTTTTGAATTGTGGATTATGCTCAAAACACAGGAAAGAGGGGTTGGTCTTAAAAACACAACAATGTTTCAAATTAAGGATATGTTCGAAAATGGAAAACCTAACATTGTCTTGAAAACGATCAAGAGATTAATATAAAAAGAACTCCTATTATAATTTTGCTTTAAACTCTCAGTGTTAGAAAAGGGCCAAGTGTTAGTAATGGAACTTATGTCCCCTGAAGAAACACTCTGGGATGATGTGAGGTGCTACAACAGATTTGGACCTGATTGGTTCAGCCGTTTATTGGATACTAACAGACAAGCAAAGTTTATACATAGAATGCTTAATATTTTAAGTATTGAAGCATATATTGGATACAGATATATTTTGTCATGGTGAATCCAGGATCTGAACACAAATTGGTATTAAAATATAAAGGATCCTAATCACTGTACTCAAGTTTAAACTGAAAACTGGGTTTACAGTTTATCCGCATTCCCTTCAGTTTAGTAAATAAAACTTACATGATCTCTTTTTCCATTAATTACACCCCCCCCTTTTCTATATGCTGTCACATATGTCAAAACTTTCAGGTGGTTTTGATTGTTAAGTTGTGAAAAGGCTGTCTTTTTAAAAGTTAACAAATAGCTTGAAAAAAGTAAGGAAGTGCCCTAAATCTAGTGTAAACTCAACAGAGACGAAATGCTATTTTCCTAGGGAGCAAATTATATTCTCTTTGGTAGTTTTTCTATTAGCTTGCAAACCAGCTAATATACTTCTAATCAGTTTAGCTATATTGCAACTACAGAACTGTAACTTTTTATTTATTTATAGGCTTTCAGGCATCTTCTCTTTGTATACAATATGGATTTCAGTAGTATATTGGATCGATTTGGTGCCCTAAAAAGGTCAACTTCAAGATATCCCCTGAGATTTAAAAAAAAAAATTATTATACTGTTTTTTTGTTAAAAATAGTTTTTTTATGGAATATCAAGTATACAAGGTATAATTAATATGTAAGATGTGGGGGGGGGGTCACAAGTGTTCTTAAAGAGAATGTATCTTAAAGTGGCAGTATTTGATTAGATGTTTAAAGCTTTACGGATACTAATGGGAATCAGTCATGCTACTTTGCAAATGGAGGATAACTTCAAACTGCACTGTCAGTCCCTTTGATGAGTTATTGATATATTTGAAAATAACTGCAAGAAAAAGATTACTCTGAAGTTGAGCAAAAATCAAATCAAAATGGTTCCAGAGAACGCATAGTACACTGTATATAGCAAATTCCTCGTAGGAAGGTGTTGTGAGATAGAGGACGACATTTAATTCATTCAATGTCGGAGATGCTATATCAATTGGAGTACCGACAATCTGAACTAATGTTAAATTACTTTTTATTACACCATATCCGGAATTTGAATTTGAATTTATTCAGGTTATTCAAATTAGGTTATAATTGATCCATAATTCAATCCTCATACACAAAAAAGTCTTACAATATCAAATTTGATCAAACAAATAGTTTTTAAGACTTCAGATTAAAAATTAATTATTTACCATTTTGACACACATTTTCATGTTTGTCATGCTGAACAGGATATCAAAATTTCCTTATCACCCTTCACATTTTTACTTAAACATTTTTATTAAATGATTATAAATAAGCCCAGTTAAAACTTATATAGGCTAAAGCACAAATTCCGTAAGTGAACCGCTGACTAAAGTAAAACTGAGTTAGTCCATTCGACCATTAGTCCTATTTAAATATAGATAATTACTTATAGATTATATAGATAATTACTTCTCATGTTTCAGTAAATTAAATGATACTGGAACAAAGTCAAGATTTAACATTGTTGTAAAGAAGTATATTTGTACTTGTGAACATTGTCACTTTGCATTTAAATGTACATTTAAAAGGCTGTGTTAAAGAGAGCGAAACCCAGCCTAAATAAAGACTGTTATGGTAAGGTCTGAAGGCTGCATTCTAAATCTGCCGTATCTAAATACTAATGGGAAAACTGTCCATTGATATTTCAAACTTTGATTTCTGTATCTAACAGAATTCATATTTTAAAATGTACAAGATTGAGTTGCAAAGATAAAAGGATTTAAAAAATCAGTGTTTGTTGTAGGAACTCAATTCCTTTCAGGTAAAATCAATAGAATATGAGTAAGAATGAAAGAATTCATTCACATACATTCCTTACACTATTCTCCAGACTGAGACAAGCTCGTAGTGTAGAATCCACACTCATTGCTATGGTGTAGAGTGTAGACCTGCTCAAAATCAGGATCATCCATATCAATACAGTATCTTATACATTTTAGGATAACACAATATTTTAATTTTTAATTTTTATTATTTTGTTCAACAACAGTCCACACAAATTTTTTGTGCAAACAAGGCCATAAAAACTAAAATTTAGAAAATTAGTCCTTAGTAACTTTAGCGAAAAAACATTTAATTGCGCTCTGCTTTGTCATTGGGAAATGATTTTCCGAAAAAATATTGACACCTACTTTTCCCTCAAAAATATTATTAAATTAAATATAAATCTTACTTATAGTAAGTATGTATCCAAAGGTAGCCGGACGTTTCACCTTCTTGTCTTGGCGGCAAATTACTGAAACTGCAGTCAGGGCTGCTTTTTTAATACAACATAATTTCTTCAATATTAGTGTTAATACGAAATGAACTTAAAATTACAGTAATGAATATCACTAATAATTTGACAAAAAATCAATTATCTATTATTTCCATAAGATAATTTGTATTGGATACATCAAAAGAATTTACAATTTGTTTAAAACGTTTATTTCTTTCAAGAATTCTTGCCGATTGAGCTGCCTTCGGATCAATGTAGGTCTTGTCTTAGAGCTCTTTGAAAAGTAGTTTAGCCAATGTGTCTTCTCTTCTAAGACCTAAAAAGGACTTCCCAGCAGTCTGTATTCCAGGTTGGTCAGCTGTGAAACTTCTAAACCATCGTTCAGTTTGGTTGTTTGTGGTGGGTTCATTATTCAAAATTTCATCACAGACATCCAAATTTCTAAAGTAAACATCGGGGGTTTTCTGAAGCTTTTGGTTTCCTTTCCAATGTAAGTGTTCTCAAAATACTCGAGCAGTTTTCCTGACAAGAGAAATATCTGCTGTGTGATCATGATGGATTTTTTCTACAATAAAATCCCCACTTGTGATAGCTCTTCCTTTGCAGCTTGATTTTACACATTTCCAGTAAGACTTTTCTTTTTTGGTATAATTCTTGGAATACTGGAAAAAGTCTCCATCCTGGAGAATATTTTTTCCGCGTTTCCCAAAAACAAAACAGCAAGGTTCCTCCATGACAATTATTGAAAAACTGGACATGTGTGTTTGTTTACATCAACCACTGTACACTGTACATGTGTATAATGTATACAGTACATATCAAATTTTTAACATTATTTGACATAGGGTCGGATGTTCACATTGATTTTTTGTGTTTTTTTTTAATATGCAAGTTTCGTCAAACCCTACTCCAACATAAAATACGTTAGTTTCAGCCAGTTACCAGAACTGTAAAATCAAGAATTTGCCGCCAAGAGAAGAAGGTGAAACATCTGGCTATCGTATCCAAAAACAGTACTCTCTGCAGACTTTTAAAACAGACTTGTTTGACGTTTGTCATGTCTGTTGAGTATATCCTTAATTAAAAACGCCTCAACGCGAAAATACTAAAAAGTCACCAACTTCTCTTTAAACAACAAGTTAATAAAAAAACATCTTGAAAATGTTTTTATTTATTATATTTAGCATTAAGTTTGACAATGTGATGTTTCAAGCTCTGTCAGAGAAACAAAAGGAGTATGCTCCATCTATGGCCTGCACTGTAATTAATGGAAAAAGAGATCATGTAAGTTTTATTATTACTGATGTGCCTGCTAGCAGAATTGTTGTTTAATATATTTGCTTTGTTCGGAACATGAGAGCAATTTGAACTCGTATTCTGATGATACCAGGCACTGATCAAGAACTTTCGTAAAAGTGGCCCATCTCTTTATATCTCTGATTTGCTGATTTATTATCTTGGTTATACACCTCCTTGAATAACTTCATGTTCCATACAAGAGTACTGTGGTCTTATTCTATACCATATTCCATCCCATCCTGAATAAATGGTTTTATGAATAAATGAGAAAACTAATAAAGGATTAAATGAATAAATGCAGAAAAGATCAAATGAAAAACTACTTGACTATATAGATAAATAAATAAATCCTTAAATGACTACCTGAATATATGATTAGCAAATGAATAAAAGAGTTAATAGATAAATGAATAAAGTAATAAATGAGTTAATGATTGAAAAGTAAGAGAATGGAGAAATGGATAATTACCTTTATCAAGAAGTCGATAGATGGATGTAAGCATTAATCGGAGAAATGAAAAATTATTTAAATAACTGAATAAATTAATTAAGGGAATAAGCTATTAACTAATATATAGACGAGAAAATGGATAAATAAATAATTAAATGTGTATATTGGTGGGCAGGTGAGTATGTGAATGGATGTATAAATGAATAAATGAAAAGAACAAATAGATAAATGAGTAAATGATTAATACATTAAATAAATGATCCATGGTGAAAAGAATAATTGAATTAATGAATAAATTTATAAAAGAATGAATGAGTAGATAAATAGATGGAGAATCTGATAAAATAAGAGAAAAAGTGACGAATAATTAAACTTATGATTAAAAGTATGTGTCGATAATTGGATAAATGAATAGAAGAATAATAAATCAATAGATGAGTAGTTGTATAAGTTGAACCAATAAAGGAGCCAATAAAGAACGTTTAGAATGATGTATTTCTAACGGAGTCAAACAGGTTGTTTTATCGAGACTTGGAGGAACCTCTCTAGCTCATATCCTGACTTGAACTGCTTGTTGGTTTGTCTTGCAGGATTGAAGTTGCCTGTTTTGTTCAAGGTCTGCGTTCTTTGTGTAGCCAAGGAGCCAGTGCAGGGGTTTCATAAAAATATATAAATTTAATTATCAATCATATAATTACAATTTGTTATTTTAATAAACAAAATAGAATTGGTGCAGTTTTTTATATCTTTTAGTTTTTGTGAAAAAAATATATTAAAGTTTATGTTTTTGTATTTGATGTTTGTTTGATCCGGGAATATCTGGTTTCTTTACGTGGATGTAGGGTTCTTTGTCTGCTGAAAGGTAGGGCCAAGTATTTTGTTTGAAGGTTAAGCGTGGAGCTTTAGAATTCATACTTTATGAGAACCCACGCTTTAGATTTATGTAACAAAGTATACAAATGAATAATACATGGATAAATGGATAATGGATAAATGAATAGCTGAATAAATGGATAAGTGAATAAATGGTTAAATGATTATATAAAAAAATGAATAACTGGCTACGATAAATGAATAATTAAATAAAAAACCAGTAAATATAAAATTGGGTAAATGAATTAAATGAAAAAATGATTAACTGGCTAAGATAAATGAATAATTAAATAAAAAACCAGTAAATATAAAATTGGATAAATGAATAGATGAATAATAAATCAATAGATGAGTAATTGTATAAGTATACAAATGAATAATATATGTATAAATGGATAAATGATTAGCTGAATAAATGGATAAGTGATTAAATGGTTAATGGTTAAAAATTGGGTTAATGAATTAAGGAATGAATTATTTAGGGTACAAATGAATAAATCGATAGATGGATAAGTGAATAAATGGATAAATGAATAAATGGATAAATGGCGCTAAATAAATGGATATATGGATAAATGGATAAACAAATAAATGAATAAATGAATAATTGGGTAAGAAAAATTAATAATTAAATAAGAAAACAATAAATGTAGAAATGAATAAGTGGTTAAGATACATTCTCTGTTCTTGGGAGATGACGGATGACACAGTTGAACTCAGACAAGAATGACAGGCGGCGCTGCTGCATGGCGGACCAGGGCGGAGAAGTCCTGAACAAGGCATGAGTTAGAGGTTTGTGATCAGTAAATAAAACAAACTCTTTACCTTCTAGGAGGAACCGGAAATGGCGGGGGCGGAATAAGCAACAAACAACTCTCTGTCAAAGGCGGAGTATCTTGTTTCGGCGGAAGATAACTTCTTGGAGTAGAAAGCAAGAGGAGCCCAAAACCCAGCAACTTCTTGTTGAAGAACTGCTCCTACATAAGAACCGGATGAATCCACGGCAAGTGAAACCTCGGCGGAGGGATCTGGATGAACCAGGGTTGGTACACTTGAGAGGAGAGATTTGGCCGCAGCGAATGCTTGATTCATTTCCAATGTCCAGGAGATGGTTGATACTTTTCCCTTCAATCCTTCTGTCAGCGGAGCGAGAATTCCTGTAGCGCCCCTGATGAATCTCCTGTAGAAGTTTAGAATACCCAGGAAACGTTGAAGTCCTTTCTTGTCTTCAGGACGAGGGAAGGACGAAATAACTTCAGTATACTTCTGGAGAGGAAAACATCCCTTGCTTGAAACCCTCATTCCAAGATATTCAACCTCAGGTTTGGCGAACTCACACTTGGCAGGGTTTATGCTCAGACCATGGAGGCGGAGACGGTCGAAAACCTGGCAGACGTGGTCGAGGTGTGATGTAGCATCAGGACTGGCGATGAGAAGGTCATCGACATACACGAAACAGTGTGGAATGTCACCTAGAATCTGGTCCATCATCCTTTGGAACGTGCATCCAGCATTCCTGAGGCCAAATGGCATTCTGATCCACTCAAATAGACCAAAAGGGGTTATAACTGCCGTCTTAGGAATGTCGCCTTTGGCCAGTGGCACCTGATAATAACCTTTGGTCAGACCCAGCTTGGTAAAGACTGTACAACCGTTGAGTCTAGAAGTAAAATCAGCTATGTTGGGAAGAGGATAATGATCTGGAACTGTCTGTGTATTCAACCGGCGATAATCGCTGCAAGGACGCCAGGAACCGTCAGGCTTCTGTACCATATGAAGAGGGCTGGCCCAAGGAGAGTTTGAACGGCGGATTACACCAGCAGTTTCCATTGCAGCAAATTCTTTCCTGGCAGACTCAAGCTTTTCTGCATCTAACCTTCTAGCTTTGGCAAAAACCGGCGGACCAGGAACTGTTGGAACGGAGTGACGAACTCTGTTTATCTAACTATATTCAGGATTTATCTTGAACCAAGCAGCGTTAATCATGATAGACAATAGAAACATATGGAGGGATGGGAGGGGGGGGGTTGAACATTTTTAAAATGCAGAGTTTCTTAATTATTTTCTAAGATTTGTAAACAATTGATTAACAAATTTACATTTCTAAAGCGGACAAAAATCATGAAACCTCAAAACTAAATATATTTGCCTTGATTGTGTTCCGACAGCTCTAACTTGCTCAAAGGATCAGAATGGTTCATAATTTGAAACATTTATTTTGTTTTATACTTAAATGACATATTGGCATTGGTCTAACATCTTGCAAAACCTTGAAAAAATTTTACCGCTACTAGCAAATTCCAAGTTAAACAGCTTTTCGCAATTTTTTTCAAAAACCCCTAATTTATTTTCGGTTGAAAAAAAATTATTTTTTTCACCATAAAAGTTTTTACATTTATAGTTGTTAACCAAAAAAAGTTGCAACACTTTCTGTTGCGCAAAATCAATTTTTTTACAATAGTTCTTTTTTTGTAAGAATAGATAAAATGAGTAGAAATAACAAATCTAATCCTCATAACTGGAGTATCAACCAAATTTTTTTTTCCAAAATTTTGGATTTAGCTCTCAAATATTGTACAGCAATGCACTATACCTTTAAAAATGGTTTTAAAAAGTTAGTGAAATTTGGGGTTTTGCCAACCTGTAGATCACTGCATCGTAGAGAATTGGCCAAACCGAAGTCTGACAAGTGGTTTTTCTTTAATGAGTAAAGTGATCAGAAATGTACTTGGACCTATGTAACCCAACATGTTCCTGTATGAACCAGTTAAGGATTTATTAATTCTTTGTTTAAACATTTACATTTGCTACTTTTTTTATGTTCTTATGTGTTAACAATTAAATGGATTGGGTAAAGATAAAGAAAAAAGTGTTCTAATTGTCATGTATCACATGTTTCTATGTCCTTAAAGTATGTAACATTTAGATCTTTGAATTCAAATAAAATACTTTATAATATCTTGTTGTAATGTACATAAATGGTGGAAATTCCTGATGGATAGAATAAACGTTTATAGAAGTTACAGAAATTGATGCTGCAGGGGGTTTCAACTGTGTTTACACTGTTAGCATCTGTTTCAATGCTAAAAGAAGAAAGTACGTTGGTCCAATGAGTACAAAAACACCCATGGCTTCTTTTTAAGAACACAAAGATATTCTTTAAATACCGAATATTTCAGGGAGCTCAAAATTATAACAGAAGAATTGTTCATCAAGATTTTCTTTAGCTCTGATGGATTTGTGTCGTGTCATGTAAGCTATTTCCCAGCATTACATTATTACATTGTGGTAATTATGATGTAATTAAATAAGAAGACAAGAAATTTCAATTCAAAAACATTGCATTACATTTCTCAATTTCATGTCTTAATATCAAAAGTATTTAAATTAGTAATTTTTAGAACGACATCTACATTGACTATTTCTATAGTTAAGAATTTTAATGATGTTTTCAACATGTTTTAATGATTGTATACATATGTTGAATTAATTATCTTTAGATCAAGTTTATGTTAAATGTCGACCTCGAGATTGCAATAAAGTCTGGATGGGGTTTCATCAGATATTTTTTTTATTGTTTTGGCTTTATGGTATTCTAATCTTTGATGACTGTTGAGTCTTGTTCCGAAGGAATTCTTAAAAGCAATCATTATTAATAGCTTTGGTGAAACTCACTTTACCACTGTTAGATAATACAAGAAAGTGCATGAATGCCTACTTGAGCAATGCAGCAAAGATGTGCCAGCAGATGGACAGCTTGAAGAATGGAGATGTATTAAGTTTAACTGAAAGGAAGGTTAACATGAGCATTGTGAATTTCCTGAAAGGTTGTTTGACCCTGAAATTTTCGTTGAAATCCAAATTTTGTGAGAAAATCTCACAACTCAGAACCTGACAACATATGCAATATTACCTATTAGTATATTGAATCTATTTCATTAAGACTGTCACATCATTTCCTTGCACCAATAAAAGATGATACAATAGCAAACTTTTGCATATCCAGTGGATTTGCATCCAAAGCACTATCGTCAAACTACAGTAAAATACATAAAAGATTGAAATCTCAAGCATAACTCTTCTTAGTAAAGAGCTATTGTTTAGAACACAAATGTTATAAATTCATAATATGTATCTGAATATTGTAGCATATTTAAGTGTAAAACTATGGGGTGACATTGAAACGCCTCAACACGGAAATGACTCAACACGGAAACGGATCAAAAATACTCGGAAACCCCTCAAAAACCGGTTTTTTTGAGGCATTTCCGCGATTTCTTCAAATTTTTCGGAAATCCCTCTAAATTCAAATTTTGAGGAGTTTCCTCTTTTTTTTGATCGATTTCCCAGAATTGTATATCTGTTTCCCTTTTATTCAAATATTTTAGAGGGATTTCCCAATATTTTTGAGGGGATTCCCATATTTTGGATCGGTTTCCTCAAATTTTTGATCCGTTTCCTCATATTTTTGATCCGTTTCCGCTTTTTTCAAAAACTTTAAAAATCTCGTTTTGTTGATCGGTTTCCTCAAATTTTAGGTCCGTTTCCTCATATTTTTGATCCGTTTCCACTTTTTTCTAAAACTTTAAAATTGATCTGTTTCCCCATAATTTTGATCGGTTTCCTCAAATTTTTGATCCGTTTCCGCTATTTTCAAAAACTTCAAAAATCTCAATTTGTTGATCGGTTTCCTCAAATTTTTGATCCGTTTCTGCTTTTTTTTGATCCGTTTCCGCTTTTTTCAAAAACTTTAAAAATCTCAATTTGTTGATTGGTTTCCTCAAATTTTTGATCAGTTTCC